CTGAAAAACATGCCAGTTGTCAAGAATAGTGAAGAAAAATGTGGAAAAAAAAGATAATGAGGTAGACTATAATTTGTCAAAAAAATTGCACGTGAAATGAAGATCATAAAATAATGTTGTTATTTTCTGGTCTTCTTTTCACGGTTTATAAAATGTTCCAGTGGGCCTACTACTAGATCTATGTCTCTGAAGAACATTTTGCTTGACTTTATCAGCTTTTTTTCATGTACTTGAAAGCATAGAATATAATAGTTTCACACAAATGTATGCACAATACCTTGAAAAAGAAAGATAAGGTCATTGTTGTTGTTGTTTTTTAACGGAATCCGTTTTTCGTTGAGAAAAGCGCTAAAAACAAGTTAAAAATTTTAAAGAATGCCCATAATATTAGGAATCCGAAATTACTACCTTGATCTAGTTTGCTTACTCTTTAATAACCATGAGCTGTTTAGAAAAAAAAGAGAATGATATAGGATTTGTCTAAATATGACCATTGGTATTAGTATTATAAAGATATTGCCCATTTTGTCCAACTATCCTTGCAGGTAAAATCACCATGTACTGCACCCCAATAAGCACAAAAAGAATATTTTTGTGACTTTGTATAAAGGTGTTTTGTAGTTGAGTTCTATGTAAAATTCTCAACAAAATAATGTACATTTGGACCGTACAACTGAGATAGACACTCATGCACACAATAACATTCACACATTACACACCTACATACAAACACACTATTACATTTACTCTCTCTCTCAAGATCTCTCTCTCACCACAACCACACACAAAACAAACACATACACACACACTCACACACACACACACACACACACACACACACACACACACACACACACACACACTCACACACACACAGACACACAACTCTTACCCTTGGTCCACTTATCATTTAGTATCATCCTCTATTTTGAAATAATCCCCCGCACTAAATAAAAAGATCAGTAGAATCTCGACCTTCCGAATCCATGGTTAGTTCAAGAAATCTACCATATGATGTGGCCTAAATAAGATACGGGAGGGGGGTTTAGTTTATTTGGGCCACAGTGTGGCCTAAATAAGGTCACCCTTTAAAATATTAATAATGATAATGATTTCGGGGGTTCCCTT